GATCATGTTTTCCAGTTTTCACAGGGGCTGTCTCTTCAACCTCTCTGGTTTTACTATCTGGTACTTGGCTTTGAACCTAAACATACTGTGATGGATGGTTGACTTTAGTTTTCAGGTCCTTGTGCATGAGACTCCACAACTCTATTTCCCATATTACTTAGTTCAAAGGTTTTGTGGCACACTTTATAATAACCTTTGCATTTGTCTCCAGCAACTGGTGATAGCAATGGAACAAAGTCAGGATGAAGTTTGGAATCCACCCACTGCATATTAAAAACTCTCCTCTTAGAAGCCATCTTCAAAATGTGGTTTCAGATACATACATACACAAGCCACGAGCTTGACACTAAGATGTCAGCAGATTCGTTTTCTGGCAAGTAGTAACTTCCCAAAGCTGGGAAAGTTTCACTTTCACTTTCTGAAACCATGATGAACAGATCAGCAGCAAGAAAAGGGGTGGAGGTTAAATGCTTGCAGATCATTTCTGCAATCTAGAGAAGCAGACAACCCTCATTTGCAACCTTTATGCTTGGAGAAGTCAGGGAAGAGGGTGAGAGAGCTGTTACTCTGTAAACTCCAGCAGGAAGAAGCAATCAAATTTGAAAAAATTACTTAGCATGGTGTAGAGTAGAAAGTGCTAGCTACTATGAAATCCAACAGCAGCAAAACACATTTGCAACTCTGTGCTCGGTTTAGCAGGAGACAAAAGGTCCATTCCATACACAAGCATGACCCCAAAACATGTTTATCTTTATATGTAAGTTAAACGTAGTGCAAGCAGGTAAGAATGAAGGCAGGCTAAGGGAATCCAGGCTGCCCTTTGCAAAGATGGCAGCTGCAGCTTCCCTTACGTTCATGGCTGGGAGTCCAGGAGACCTCGGCAACAGCAATTAAGGTAAGGGGGTGTTGGTGGGGGCTAAGGTAGGGAAAGGAAGGGGGTGTGGGGTAGGCTGTCGGGGTGGCTGGCTGTGGGAGGGGGGTGGTTGCCTATCTGCCGCCAATCAGCTGATTGGCAGCTAGTAAGCAGAATGATGGCTTTTGTTTTTTAATACAAATGACAAATAAAAATGGGTACATATCCGTTCCTTTGTATTCGTGGGGGTCTCTGGAACCCACAAATATGAAGGGATGAATATTTAATGAATCAGCTGTTTTCTTTGAAAAAGCTGATCCGTTTTTATATCCGTCCCCATCTCTAGTTAATATACATCCCCTGTAGAGATCACATCCACCTTGGAGAAAAAATTAACAGAGCAGATAGCAGTTGAAACGGAAGAACTCTGTATTAATAGTGGCTGTTTTCACAAGCTTCTGCATAGGGAAACATTACTATATGTTCTCTTGAGATCTACAGAAGCTAGAGAGTTCTCTTTCTGGAGGACCTCAAGAGTCTTCCTCTTTGTTCAGTGGGTCCTGAACTAATGTCTGCTCTGCAGTCCTCTTGCCTAAGGGCTACATAGATACTGTAGTATCTGGGGAACTTCCACATGATCATTTAGTCCTAACACAGGAAAATGGAACAAGTACCTTGGAATTCCTCTTTGATATCTGATGAATAACTTGAATACTGTGTTGAAACACCTGTTCAGGATTCTGAGATCTATTTAGATACTGACTTTTTTGAGAAACATAAAACTCTGTTGCTTTGAAATACCTGTTCAGGATTCTTACTCCTATGCTCTATGGCAGTCTGAGGGACAATGAACTGGCCCCATTTAAAAAGTTTGAGGACCACTGTATTAGAGCTTTGGATGCCTAGGTTCCTTCCATTTAAAAAAAGTGGATATGGGATTAAACCATTCTCTCTTAAGATAAACAAATGTGGTCTTTTCAATGTATTTGAAATGTTTTAAATCGCCAGACACAGGTGGTCACTAGCAGCTACATGGGGTGGGATGAGGGTGATAGGTTTACTTATTTAAAAAATCCTAAGCCAAAAACCATTTTGCCCAAACATCCCCGAATTTGGCAGAAAGCAAGAGGAGACTGTCTGCTACATCTGTGCCAAACTTGGTGGTGCTCTAGGGACACTCCTATTTTTCAGCTAGCTTACTGAATGCTGAACTGGGCTGTTACACAATATATTTTTCTGAACTCTTGTGCAGAAATAATTAAACACCTTCAAAGACTCACTGAAGAGAGTGGCTACCAAAGAAAGGGGAAAAAACAAATAAACAGCACACTTAAAATATTCAAATAATAAATTAAATGTATACATTTAATCACTTCTGCCATCAAGATACAAGAAAAGGTATAGCTTCCAGTTTGTAGTATCACGCACAGAAACCTTAGTGAACATATTTAAATCTTACTAAGAAATATAGAATCACTTACACTATCACCTGAGGGCAATCACAGAAATACTTTTTAAAAATTGTTGCATGGTGCTGATCATCCACTTCATAAAGGCCAGAAAACCAGGTAATATTTATGCTGATGTATGTGCAAAAGAGCAACTCAAACCATCAAACAGCTGCTACTTAAGTAACAAGTGTCCCTCCTTCTCCAGTAGACTCTCCTTTATGCAAACTGGCAAATACAAATTAGGCTAAAATTGGTTGCAAAAGTGGTCACACAATTCTCTGTGTAAAGTGGAGGGTGCCAGAAGGGGGAAAAATCACTGTACAACTGCCCTTATGTGGATGTAAAACCTGAACAGGATTTTCACCCAAAGGTTGCTGAAGTGAACATTCGGTTATTGAGATTGGGGATCAGTGTCTAGCATTATACTGGCTCCGTTTCTTCCTTGAGAGTTCAGCTTGGGGAAGCTGTTTCGTCCCCATGGACACTACAATGTGGTGTTCCACAGGGGCCAATCATCTTACTGTTTAACATCTACATGAGGCCGCTGGGAGAAGTCACTCGAAGATTTGGAGTTCACTGTTATCAGTATGCTGATGATATGCAACTCTCTCTCCTTTTCCTCTTCAGCAGGGGAAGCTGTACAAACTGTAGAACGTTGCCTGGTTGTGGTTATGGACTGGACGAAGGAAAATAGGCTGAAACTGAATACTGACAAGACGGAGATCCTATTGTTGGGAGGGCATCTTGATCAGTTAGGGGGCTTATTACCTGATCTTGATGGGGTCGCACTCCCCTTGAAAGATCAGGTGCAAAATCTGGATGTGCTTCTGGACACCCAGATGGAGAAACAAATCCTGGCTGAGCCAAATCTGCCTTTTTCCATCTGAGGTAGACTGCACACTGCTGTCCCCTTCTTGACAGGAGATCCCTAATAATACTGGTTCATGCGTTGGTAATTTCAAGGATTGACTAGTGCAATGCTCTCTACGTGGGACTACCCTTGAAGGTGGTTTGGAAGCTGCAGCAAGTGCAAAATGCAGCTGCCAGGATGATCACTGATACATCTAAATTTGACCACATTTCACCTGTCCTGGCTCGTGTGCACTGGCTAGCAGTATGCTTCCGGGCCAAATTCAAGGTATTGATGCTTACTTATAAAGCCCTTTATGGTTTAGGACCTTGCTACCTGTCACAGCGCCTCCTCCTCAGGTCATCTTCCCATCCCACCCACACTTCCCAGTCTTTAATGTTGTGGGTGGTCACTCCAAAAGAGGCCCGGGCCTTTTCAGTAGCAGCTGTTCTGCTCTGCAACTCTCTTCCTGTAGAGGTGCAACTGGCCCCCACCCTCCTGAGTTTCCACAAGCAAATTAAAACCTGGCTTTTTACCCAGGCCTTCCCAAGCACCACCCTGTCGTAAAATTATGCTGCCCCATTGTCTGCCATCCTATCTCCTAGACTGGTGATTTTATGGGGGGGTAGGGTTTTATTTTCTTTTTATATGTTTATTTTTTTATGTTTTAAATATTTTTAATATTTAAATATTTACAAGCTAAGGTGTCAAGACACTTGCAGAGGAGTGGTTTACTAAATATGCATAGTTTTCCTCAGCTTCAGAACTAGTTTCAAAACTGCCACAGCTACAGGGCCACCCAACTATGCAATTCCCTGTACTCCTCAGAGAAGCATAAAACAGTTTTTATTTATCGACTTATTTCAGGTATATTAAATCTGTAGTCACCTAGGGAAGTAGCTCCCTAAACAGTGACTAATGACTTCAGAGGAAAAATGCAGGGAATTCTTTTGCCAGTAGGAAACTCCTTTGTCTCTGCCCAAAGAGTTCATTACCTGTTCTTCAGAGGTTACCCAATCTGCTCCACAGAAAAGAGATTCTAGATTTATTTTGCTCATTAATAAAATAGCTCAACCACCTTTGTTTCTGAGGTGCTTATTGCTCTTCCATATCACTGGTGGGGAAGAAACATGGTACATCAACTTTCTAATATAATGTACACAACTTACTTCCAAGTTTTGAGAGGGTTGCCTTTTAACTTCCCAATTCTGGAGGATGCTGTGTACGAGTCCTTGGTCTGGGAAGAATATCCAGAGCTCTCACTTCTTTTTTTTCCAAAGCACTGTAAATCTGAGACCCTACCGGACTTTTCCTGGAATCTATACCAACACCTTTACCAATTCCCTTTGCACATCTACAAACAAGCGTAAGTAGTGGATTTCCCATTCGTGATGGGGGATGGAATGGACACTTGCAAAAGACAGCCCTCTACTACCATGTTCCAGTTACCATATTGCCAGTGCTTTTGGGGCTCTTTCCTTCCCAGAATAGACTGGGGCCTCACTACAATGCCTGCCCTGTTCTCCAAAGACTCGTCATCGTCGTTTAGTCGTGTCCGACTCTTCATGACCCCATGGACCAGAGCACGCCTGGCCCTCCTATCTTCCACTGCCTCCCGGAGTTGTGTCAAATTCATTCTGGTAGCTTCGATGACACTTTCCAACCATCTCATCCTCTGTCGTCCCCTTCTCCAAGGACTCACTATCATGCAAATTTCAACCCAGTACCTCAAACAGGAGCTCAAGGAAATGAGGAGACAAGAACTATGACTAGAAAAAATGCTACTTAGCAATGGGTCAAGATCACATGCAAAGGTCCTCCAAGGATATTTATTTTAAATGTTTACCTTGCTTTTCTTTCACTTTAACTGTAGGTTAGGATTAATCCTAGAAATGAGGAACAAAATCCCAGAGAATAAGAATGGTTAGAATGAGTGATGCAGATTTTAACAGCAGTATTATCCACCCAAAATGCTATAAAGCAGCTATGTGAAAGTTTGTCTAATTTTCCAAGCTCTGAAAATGGAATATGTGAGTGGAGTGTATTTTGCTTACAACTTCATGAAAATACCCCATTTTAAAAAGTGAGTAAATGCAACAGCATAAAGTGCCCCAACTGGGAAACATCTGAGAATTTTGACATGCAATACCTTTGATGTGTTTCATACGTCTTTTCTAACACTTCCATGTTTCTGATAGCTTTCAGCATCAGTGAATTATGAAGGCTGATTATACAACAAGTCCACAACACAGGAAATATTTTGGTGTGATTTTCTCCATGTTTGTGGTCAGGGAGAAGAGAATGTAAACTTCTCTCTCCCTTCACTCCCAATAAAGCTCCTGTTTTCTGTGTAGCTTCCTCTTGTCAACACAACCAGATGAAGTGAAATGCCACAAACACAGTAGTCACCTTCATTTATGCCGCAGAGGGTACCAGACCATCTGAAAAATTAAAATGTTAATTAAAGGTTATTTGGCTCAAAAGTGGAAAGGATTTATGACATACAGAAAGTGCTATATGCAAATTTCCAACCCTCATCCAAATAATCCTCCAAACCACACATGCAGTGGAAGAAAAAAGACATTGTTCCATAAGTGCGACGCTCTCTTAGTGGGCTGCAGTGATGCGAAAGGAACATCGCTAAATATCTAATTTATCGTCATTAGTACCCAATATTTGGGTTTGATATTTAGCCCAAAACACTCGTAAAGGAGCACGCCCACGTCAAGACTCAGCGGCCGAATCGGGGCACAGCGGGAGGAAGGGGCCGGGGCGCGCCCTGACAGGAGAGGAGGGCCGAACGCCCGACGAGCAGAACCACCGAACCGGCGGCCTCCTGGCAGCCACCGCGGCCCAGCGCCTCAGCGAGATGCTCCCTTCCGGCCCCTCCCTCTCGGTTGGGCCCCCTGCGTTCTTCCCTGCCGCCCCTCCCC